ATCGGAAGGGCTACTCGCGGTATATAACCGTCTTGGGCGGCGTCCAAATCATTGGAAGGGCTACTCGCGGTGTATAACCGTCTTGGGCGTCGTCCAAATTTTTTCTTTTCATCATTTTCTTCCCTGTAAACAAGACTCGACATCTCCGAAAAGCGGTCGCGAAGCCAATCAATAACAAAAAAAACCACAATAACATAAATTGTAATTGCAGAAAATCGTTTAAGTGGAACCCCGGCAGAGAACTTCGCGGACGGGTAAAAAGGCCCAGCGTCACCGACGCAACGCAAAGTTGCGACGAGCGGCAGCGCTCGCGCAAGACAAAGCGGAGCCGACCAGCCCCACTGACGCCACCACCCCTCAGACATTAGGAAACGATTCCGGCAGCGACAATAATTTAGAAAATCCCACCGATATACGCATAAACCGTTCGCACTCACCGACACATTCGCGCTCACACTCACCGACACATTCGCATTCACACTCACCGACACATTCGGTACACACACACACAGACACACACATACACGACGATTCGTGGTGTGAAACTCCCTCTTATTCACCGGTAACCCCCGATCCTCCCGCAGAAAATCCCGCGGATTTACAATCCGCGCCGACTCCTCTACCTCCCCCTCGCTCTCCTTTCCCTGAACCATCTACGTCCAGAGACGAACCTGTAGATGATGGATCCTCCGACTCGACCCGCTCAACCACCCCTCCGCTTGATCCTAAATTTCAGCATTTTATCCGACTAGCCTCCACCTATAAAAAAGCGAATCCTGAAAGAATCCCCTTCGTCCTTGACCCTCTGACTACAGATCCTTCTGAAATCTTCCGGATAATAACCACCACTCCGGCTAGAAAACTAGTTCCAGTCAAGTTTCCCTACATAGATGATATTCGNTTAGTTCCCGTCCACCATTTCTACACAATGTTCCCTCCAAGTTCCGCAAAAATCCAAGAAATTATAGAAATTATAGAAATCGACCTCGAATAATTTCTATTACGAATCGGCGTCTTAAATATGCTACCGAAACAATTACACTTGTAAAACCCCGCCGGAGGCCCTTCACACACACATCGCATACACTCATATACAGGGTGCGTCGCCAAAATCGGGTGATACTCTATTGACCACAGTACGATTCGACACC